ATTACAGTAAAATAAGTCGATAATGTGGCAACGCAACAAGCAACCGTCTGCTATTGCAAATGGCGTTAGTCTGAGTCTGAGAGGAGTTCGCGCTGCGCAAATAACGCATTTTAAAAACCACTAGGCAACCAACTATACAGATACCGATCGACATAATTTTTATTGTTTGCAACCATGTTATTTGATTGGTTAATCGAGAAAAATATTTTTGACGGAGCACAATAAAATACATAGGTACTTAAAAAGGAGGACATATTTCATTTAAAGGAGGACGAAGGACATGATCTTATCAAAAGAGGACTGTCCTTCACAAAGGAGGACGGGTGGCAACCCTAATTATAATCCGTAGATAGCTCAGATGGTAGGGCGGTCGCTTGGCATGCGAGAGGTCTCGGGTTCGATACTAAGAATTTTCGAACTTTTTTTATTTTTTTATTTCATAAATTTGTTGTTTCTTTATTGGTTTGTTTTAGTTTTATCGTAACATAAATTTGCCCATTTTAGTTGGGTTTTTTGCTTAATGGGGCGGGGTCGGTTGGGTTGTGTTGTTGAGCTTGGGTTGGTTTGGTTTTATGACGTAACTAACGTGCCTTTAACATTTCGAATCGCGGTACATTTGTCAATTAAGCGATCATGCGCAGTAAGAGGAGCCGCCAGTGGCATTTAGCATCTCGTCCTGTTGCCAGCGTCAGTAAGTTTGTACCGAATTCAGTACTTTCGAATTAAAAAAAGTACGCACCTCGTTGATGGTTTTCTACGAAGGCGTAGAAGGGCCATCCAAAATTTAAATCTGTATTTTCTACAAATTTCTGAGATATAACTCGAAATTTTAAAATTTTGAGTCGAAATTTTACACCAAAATTTCGTGTTATATCTCGGAATTTTAAAATTCCGTGTTATATCTCGGAATTTTAAAATTCCGGTTTATATCTCGGAATTTTAAAATTTCGAGTTATATCTCAGAAATTTGTAAAAAATACAGATTTAAATTTTGGATGGCCCTTCTACGCCTTCGTAGTTTTTAGTACGTTTTCCAGTTTTAGATTTTTTTCTCTTTATTTAAATAAAAATAAAAAAAAAAATTAAAAGTTAAGGTTGGTGATACTGAGTTGTTTTAGTATCCTGGTAATTTTAGTTTTAAACTGTTGCACAGTAGGCTGGAGCGCGCTTCCAGCGCGAAGAAATTCAAAATAAGTAAGTGTTTTATTTCGACCAAATTTAGGGAATCTTGAATTCTTTAATATCCCTTTTTCACTGTGAATTCACCGTGAATAAACCGTCTGTTTGTGACATTTGTAAACGGTAGTTAGACGGTGAATTCACGCACTTTTCACAGTATTTTAATTGTGAATCCACCGTATTTTGGCGGTATATTCACGGTGAATTCACAGTGAATTCACGGTGAATAAACCGTGAACTCAAGGCCGCAAGGGTAGGTATATCCTATAGGTTTAACACAATCGACTATAGCTAGCCATTATTCGTTACTGAGCAGATGAGGATGGAGATGGGGACTTCAAAATGTTCAGCTATGCCATCCCTTGCGGCCTTGAGTTTACGGTGAATTCACCGTGAATTCACCGTTTGCGTGAATACACCGTTTATGTGCAGTGAATATAGCGTCCATTTGTGACATTTGTAGACGGTAATTAAACGATGAACTCACGGTGATTTCACGGTTAATTCACGGTGATTTCACGGTAAATTCACGGTGAACTCAAGTTTGCAAAATCACCGCAAATTCACTGTGAAAGTACCGTAAATTTATCGTGAATTCACCGTAAAAGCGCTGTGAGTTTACTGTGAAAACACCGTAAATTGACTGTGAAAACACCGCAAATTGTAAGTGTAAGATTCGAACAATCTGCTAATTGGATATTCCCAATACAATACAAATATCGCAAGAGGGCTCTTGTGTAGCTGCGCAAAATCAACGAGGTTGAGACGCCATCATAAAGAAAAAAACAACAGGTTGGACGCCATTTATTAGCGGTTTTTTTAATTAGTCGATTTCTGTGTTAAGCGGTTTAAGCAATACATCTCACGGCTGCTTACGCACGCGAGCTAACTATAAATAGCGTTGGGTTGCAATATTTAGTTGGAAGTGTGCGTCTTTAATGGTATAGCTGAACATTAATTGTTTGAAGTCCCCATCTCCATCCTCATCTGCTCAGTAACGAATAATGGCTAGCTATAGTCGATTGTGTTAATTTTATTCACCGTGAATTCACTGTGAATTCACCGTGAATATACCGCCAAAATACGGTGGATTCACAATTAAAATACTGTGAAAAGTGCGTGAATTCACCGTCTAACTACCGTTTACAAATGTCACAAACAGACGGTTTATTCACGGTGAATTCACAGTAAATTCACGGTGAATTCACAGTGAATTCACGGTGAATAAACCGTGAACTCAAGGCCGCAAGGGATTACAGACGCACACTCCCAACTAAATATTGCAACCCAACGCTATTTATAGTTAGCTCGCTTGCGTAAGCAGCCCTGAGACGTATTGCTTAAACCGCTTAACACAGAAATCGACTAATATAAAAACCGCTAATAAATGGCGTCCAACTTGTTGTTTTTTTCTTTATGATGGCGTCTCAACCTCGTTGATTTTGCGCAGCTACACGAGAGCTCTCTTGCGATATTTGTATTGTATTGGGACCCAGATAGCAATAGTGCGTCGCACGAAAAACGCATGACGTGCGGTCTCACGCGTGCGCGCTATTACGCATTCAAAATTAAGTAACGCGTGAGTTTTAGGCGCACGCGATGAGACCATTTTCGCATATCGCACACGTGCGTTCGTATACACATTCACAGTAAAGTCACATGTTTTAAAATTTGTGCGTGGCAGGTGCGATGACATTTATTGTTATTTATAATTAATATATACGGACCCATTTATGCAGAAAGGATCCAACCCACCAAACAATAATTGTTTCAGATTGCAATAAATCCATTTTGAATGAATTATTTTTAATGATTTATCTATAGATGAAATAAAATGTACTAAATATGCATATACCCGTGGATGTTTACAAAAAAATATTAATAAAATGGAATAGGGTTCTTTTTCCAGAATGTAATTAAAAATAAGTTTTTTATAAGATTCTATAGAATATAAATGCAATAAAACTTTAATATTTTGAGGCAAGTGGTTAAAGAAGAATAGGGACAAATAGTAGCAGCCTTTTTCAAAAATAGCAAGCCTGTGCTTCGGATACAGAAAATCATTACTTCTTAGAGACTTTGATTTTGACTCCAAGAATAACTTGTGGTTTGATTTAAAAAAATAGGAGAATTTCATAAATGACCTCTACAGCATATTGTAAGTTTAAAATTGACCTTATCCATGGTTGACCAATGGTTGCAAATTGAATAATAGTGGGATTATCATTGCAACCTAAGCCAGCTCGAAAAGACTGTCTTGGTTAAGAGATCTGAGTATTAGGGATTTAAAATCTTCTTTTAAAATTTTAATTGTTAAAAGATAGATCCAAATTTGCCTAAAGGCGTGGTTAACCAATCAATTTGTGATAGAGGCTTGATGATCTTAATTGTGTAAGAAGTGTTAATTAACACCACCTCCTTGTTAATTCTTTGGTATATCCAAAATTTTACATTTTTAAATTCTTTAGGCCAGAATTTTACATGTGAAGATCATTTTCTTTCAGGTGGCTTTCTAAATCGCATTCGTGCGCTTCAGATGCAACTCAAATGTGGACATATATGTAAGGCCAGATGCATCGCACACGTGCGACTTAAGTCGCACGTGTGCACTCCAAGTGCGCGCATCGGAACTACATTTTGCTATCTGGGGAATAACCAATTAGCAGATTGTTCGAATCTTACACTTACAATTTGCGGTGTTTTCACAGTCAATTTACAGTGTATTCACAGTAAACTCACAGCGTTTTTACGGTGAATTCACGGTGATTTCACGATAAATTTACGGTACTTTCACAGTGAATTTGCGGTGATTTTGCAAACTTGAGTTCGCCGTGAATTTAACGTAAAATCACCGTGAATTAACCGTGAAATCACCGTGAATTTATCGCAAAAACAGCGTGAGTTCACCGTTTAATTACCGTCTACAAATGTCACAAATGGACGGTATATTCACTGGACATAAACGGTGTATTCACGGTGAATTCACGTAAACGGTGAATTCACCGTAAACTCAAGGCCGCAAGGGATCTGTAGATAATGAAACATCTTTAAATCACCTTCAAATCTGTTGAATTTTTGTCAGTTAACCAGTCAATGTTTAGGAATTATAATTACTTGCTTTGTGTTGATAAATTCCGCGTAAAGGTATTGCTTCTCTTACAATGTTTATTATTAATTTATTCTTACTTTTTGACTACCCTTGCGGCCTTGAGTTTATAAGTCTGTATTAAGGCAAATAAGGCACAAAATTAAACCGAATCAAAATCTACCCGCTTAAAACGTAAACAAACAATATGGCGGCAAGTATTTTGTGATTTTCAGTCTGCGCGAACTGAGACCTTGTTGTGTGGATTGTGGTCAATCCCTGCAGTTGGGAACACTGGGTCAGTACGTTAACTTTCAAATTGACCATATGCAAGGAATGCGGTCGATGTTGCCAATGGTAAAAAAATAAAATTCCCTGTTGGGAACATTCAATTATATCACGTTGGCTACATTGAAAATTTGAATTTCCCGCACAAACTAAATTAATTTCCATCTTTTTTTTTTTAATAATAAATAATAATAATTCCCACATTTGAAATTCGCACCTTAATTTATTATACAACATTGGAACTACCTTCTTTATCTCTGGGAACTACTAGAATGTATGTCAGTGTGTGCGGGAAATTCAAAATTTCAGTGTAGCCAACGTAATATAATTGAATGTTCTTAATAGGGAATTTTATTTTTTTACCATTGGCAACATTGACCGCATTCCTTGCATATGGTCAATTCAATACGTTTGTATTGCCATTTGACTACTTTAATTTTTCTACTACTGGCAACACTGCCTATGAATGGTAAAAATTGATATTAAATAACATTTCAATCTGTGACAAAAGGTTTATACAAAGGTTTATAAATAAATATAAGAGGTAAATGTTGCTTTGTTTTAATTACCAATGCACAAATTATGTTAACATTTTAGGGATGGACAGTATTGTTTCCGTTGAAGGGCATTTTGTGGACTTAATTGATGACCAATGGAGATCTGATAAATTGCCTGAAGACGATATTGCAGTTCCAACCTATGAATTGGCTGATCCCGAAGCAGACTCAGGTGACGTTCACTTAACTTTAAAGGAACAAGAGCAAAAGTGGACAGATATTCTATTAAGCTCTTTAAGTGAACACCAATAATATGGAACTACCACAAATAGGCAAACAATGCCACAAACCTAATTGTAAACAATTGGATTTTCTACCATTGCAATGTAAATGTTTAAAACTGTTTTGTTCAGAGCATTTCAATGACCATGTAAGATTATGTGAGAAAAGCAGGTATTTGAATGAAAGTGAATTAAAGAAAATAACAGAGGTTTACAAATGTACTCACCTTAATTGTAAAGTAACTGATGTGGTGCCTTTAATTTGCCAAAAATGTAACAGACATTTTTGTGTGAAACATCGACATATTGAATGTAAAGTTGGAGATGAAAAAACTTTACCAGATGAAAGGAAAAGGTATGCCAAACCTGTTCAAGAATTTGAAATTGCTAAAAATGCTGTGGATAAACAGGTAAATTATTATATTATGTTAGGAAAAAAATAAAATATTTCTTCAAGCGTTTTATAATTTAAGCTTTCTTATTGTTAACTCACTACTATGGCAAGCCGTTTTAGTTTTTATTACACATGGCTATCAAGTCTCATTTTAATTCGACTTGATTTCTATGAGACATTAGATAATTGAAATTATATGTATTTTCCTTAAGGGAAATTACATTTTTATTATAATTTCAAAATTGAATGCATATTTTCTTTACAAATAGTAAAAATAATGCATTTGTTGTATTTATTTCCATTGTTTTTTTAAATATTGTCCTTAACGTGAAAGCAATTTTCGTTAACAGAAATTGTATTAAATTTACTAATTATAATTTTAATGCAAATTATTTGTACTGTTTTAGTTTTTTGGAGCAATTTTATGAGACATTAAAAGGATTTTATTTTAATTCAATTTTATTAAAGTAGCTTCTGAAAATTATTTGTACTGTTTTAGTTTTTTGGAGCAATTTTATGAGACATTAAAAGGATTTTATTTTAATTCAATTTTATTAAAGTAGCTTCTGACTTGGATACAATGTTACATTTTATTTATGTTAGACTAGGCTAAGTATTAAAATAAAACGAATTAAAATTACTATTACGAATATAAATGCATTTTTCCTTAAGGATATAGTTTTATACTTTCCTAAATGACATAAAAATTAAAAACATTTTAATTTAAAATACTCATTGAAATGTTGTTCCCGAATAAAATTTAGAACCGCAATACATAGAGTTATGGCAAGCCGTTTTAGTTTTTATTACACATGGCTATCAAGTCTCATTTTAATTCGACTTGATTTCTATGAGACATTAGATAATTGAAATTATATGTATTTTACATTTTTATTATAATTTCAAAATTGAATGCATATTTTCTTTACAAATAGTAAAAATAATGCATTTGTTGTATTTATTTCCATTGTTTTTTTAAATATTGTCCTTAACGTGAAAGCAATTTTCGTTAACAGAAATTGTATTAAATTTACTAATTATAATTTTAATGCAAATTATTTGTACTGTTTTAGTTTTTTGGAGCAATTTTATGACACATTAAAAGGATTTTATTTTAATTCAATTTTATTAAAGTAGCTTCTGACTTGGATACAATGTTACATTTTATTTATGTTAGACTAGGCTAAGTATTAAAATAAAACGAATTAAAATTACTATTACGAATATAAATGCATTTTTCCTTAAGGATATAGTTTTATACTTTCCTAAATGACATAAAAATTAAAAACATTTTAATTTAAAATACTTATTGAAATGTTGTTCCCGAATAAAATTTAGAACCGCAATACATAGAGTCTAACAATATTTAGAGAATCAGAAAATAACATCGAATTAAAATGAGACTTAATGATCATGCAGGGCCGAGCCTAGGGTATCTGCCGCCTGGGTGCAAGAATTAAATTTGCCGCCCCCATTAATGTAAAAAATTAGGTTGTCGGTAGGGAAGGAGTTCATAATTTATCATTCTCAATAAACATACTTATAACAAATTTTAAAAAATAACAAAGTATTTATTAACAAATAGGTACATAAAAGAATAAAATAAAAATACATTCAGGAAAAAAAAAACAAAAATAATTAAACTAAACTAAAAAACTAAAATCTACTTTTCTCGCTTTTTTAATAGCAAATTCCCTAATCAAGTCGCCTACATCCAAGTTGTTAGAAATATCTTCTTCAATACTTATAATTGCTAAATTTGAAAGCCTGAATTGACTCATTTTGGATCTTAAATAGGTCTTAATTAGTTTTAATTTCGAAAATGACCGCTCCATGGGCAACAGCTGCCATCGTCAAAAATATTCTAAAAGCTACAAATAAATTCGGAAAGATGCCTTTTAAATCATTAACTAGTTTTTAACTTAAACGCATTAAAAGACAAAAGAAACTACTATGTTTGCATCCTATTTGCCTCACTTTAATAGAAAAATTGCTGAAATACGCAGCCGTCAAATCGGAAGAAATTATGCTTTAACTTAACAGTTCAGCTTGTAAACAATATCACGTGGTACACAGCGCGCGATTTGATTGGTTTCCCGTAAGCCCGCTTCCGTAAAAGATGAAACTTGACGAACTCGAAGCGGACGGACGAAAAGCGAAGCGGGCGGGCGGCAATCTATAAACCGGGCTTTAAGAAAATTGTCATCATCATTTTTTGTGGCTATCGCGGGTTCGGTTATGTCTTTTTTATCATTGCCGCCTGACAGCACAATTTTGGCATTGTTTTTATGTGTAGAATAAATACGATGATTCCTTGAAACGCCGACATCAATAAAACGCAAGTGATTTTTAGAAAGTTTTTTGCATATTGCAAGGTGGCTTTTTTATTCTTGATAATATGATACAATTTTTTTGATGATATTTTGCCGCCCTGTGTTAGTGCCGCCCGGGTGCCATGCACCCCCGGCACGGCTCGGCCCTGTGATCATGTGTACAAAAAATAGCTCGAATTACTTTTATTTTTAACTAAACAAAAATAAACTTCTATTTCCGTTAAGGGAAATTACAATTCCCTTAACGAAAATGTTATTTCCCTTAACGGAAATGCTATTTCCCTTAACAGAAATTACATTTCCCTTAAGAGAAATTAGTGGCGCTATCTGTGGTGAAGATGCCGAAGGTTCCACCGCTTACAGAGTTCTGCCTTTGGTTGGGATGCCAGAATCTTTCATTTTGTTTGAATGCAACAAATATGACACAATTAACAATAATGAATAATATTACTACTACAGTTTGCTATTTACTACTTCTTTTCGTTTTAATAACCTTTATTAGAAACGTTAAAACACACCTTAAGGTGCGTACTGACTTGCAACAAAACACTCCGAACGATCCAAACGCGCCGCGCGCGCTGCAACAAATTGTGCTAGTGAGAACCTCGCGCCGAACAGAACGGAACGCGCCAAACTTTTTCGGGCGATTGTCGGTAAATCGGATTTGCGCAAAGAGATTTTCGCCGAACGATTAGTTCGCAACTTTGCAGTGAGAACGTGTGTTTGCCGTGTTTGGCCTGTTTGTTTATTTAAATTAATTATTAAAAGTGCAAAGATGGAATGGAGCAGGGAAAAGTGCCTTCAATTAATAGATGAATATGAAAAGCACCCTTTATTATGGGATGCCAAAAATGGGCTGTATTTTAATAAAAATAGATGACGTCTTGACCACTCTTTTCTTTTTTTCTTCTTCTTATTACTAACTAAAGCACTTATAATTAAAAAAGCACCAGCCGCTATTATTATTAAATCATCTGCATCCATCCTGACGAACACACCAAATGCGGGAACGCGACGAACACAGCAAATGCTCGCGAACGGCACGAACCTTCACAAACATGTTTGTGGCATTCGGCGCAGCGCGCGCGGTGCGTTTGGTTCGTTCGGAGTGTTTTGTTGCAAGTCAGTACGCACCTTTACACATGCGGCGTTGCCACACAACATTCGATTCGAATGATGCGATTCCAAAGTCGATCGGTGTCATCGCGATTCGATTCGGAGAGTTTGGTTTTCTCGAGTAGTACCCATAATTATTAATATTACTATTATTATAGCATTATCAATACAAATTTTGTGACAATTTTCTGAAAATTCGATAATTTTGTCAATAATTTGTCAATAGTTTCACTTTTTACATCTGGCAACACTGGTGGGTGATATTTTGTGGGTGGATGTGAACAGGTGTAATGGTTGGTTTTTAAATTAAAAAGGTAACAATCAAAAAAATTCTTTTTACTAATAAATCTTTTGTAAAATCACATTGCAATAATTTCATTTTATAGAATTTTGATAAAATTAATTATTTGAACTTCAGCCGTCCTCTCATAGATGGCGCCAATTTCCCTTAACGGAAATGCTATTTCCCTTAAGGGAAATACAATTTCTCTTAACAGAAATGATATTTCCCTTAAGGGAAATTGCATTTCCGTTAACGGAAATGCATTTAAATTCTTAATTATAATAAAAACTACTTTTCTTAACGAAATTTGCATTAAAATTACTATTTGTCATAAAAATCATTTTTATTATTATTTCAAATAAAAATGAAATGTTTTAGTATTTTTATTACAATTTCGAATGTAAATCATCCTCTACATCTAATCTTTTCAATTTAATGTACCCAAAATTTTAATGCTTATTAAAAAAGGAATTTTATTTATAATTTGTAATTAAAATGTAATTTCCCTTAAGGAAAATACATATAATTTCAATTATCTAATGTCTCATAGAAATCAAGTCGAATTAAAATGAGACTTGATAGCCATGTGTAATAAAAACTAAAACGGCTTGCCATATAGAGTCTAACAATATTTAGAGAATCAGAAAATAACATCGAATTAAAATGAGACTTAATGATCATGTGTACAAAAAATAGCTCGAATTACTTTTATTTTTAACTAAACAAAAATAAACTTCTATTTCCGTTAAGGGAAATTACAATTCCCTTAACGAAAATGTTATTTCCCTTAACGGAAATGCTATTTCCCTTAACAGAAATTACATTTCCCTTAAGAGAAATTAGTGGCGCTATCTGTGGTGAAGATGCCGAAGGTTCCACCGCTTACAGAGTTCTGCCTTTGGTTGGGATGCCAGAATCTTTCATTTTGTTTGAATGCAACAAATATGACACAATTAACAATAATGAATAATATTACTACTACAGTTTGCTATTTACTACTTCTTTTCGTTTTAATAACCTTTATTAGAAACGTTAAAACACACCTTACACATGCGGCGTTGCCACACAACATTCGATTCGAATGATGCGATTCCAAAGTCGATCGGTGTCATCGCGATTCGATTCGGAGAGTTTGGTTTTCTCGAGTAGTACCCATAATTATTAATATTACTATTATTATAGCATTATCAATACAAATTTTGTGACAATTTTCTGAAAATTCGATAATTTTGTCAATAATTTGTCGATGATTTGTCGATAATTTCACTTTTTACATCTGGCAAC